TATATATATGATTTGTATACTGTGGTATCAATATACACTGAAAGTACTGCAAGGATATATTATTCATTTACAGTAAAACTAACAATCCACGGTTAAATTTATAGTTTATAAATATGCTGTCTATATTATATGTGGTATAAAAATATTTGACATTTTGTGGGCACTAGGTCAAAATAAGGTTTTCTTTTTTTAAGGGACTAAAAATCTTTCAGGTATATGCATATTACCCTTGTCAATTATGTGAAAAATCATACTGACCTGGTACAAAACAGAATCCTACCGTGTTGGCAGACTGAAGAAGGTAATGTAGAGCATGATATTCACTGCATGACAAGGCTAATTAGGAGGAAAAAAAGATTTACAGCAGCCCAGTTCTAGCAGTACTTTAGATAAAGATATCATGATTTAAAGTGACATGGGCAGAAAGAAAGGATGCAGAAGAGATGGGAAAAGCTAAACAGGAGAAAAAAAAGCAAACTTTAAAATGTACCAAACAAAAATCATTGAAATTCCAGAAGCGAGGAGAGAGCTATAAATGCTCTAGTTTGGTAAATGCATTAAGGAAAAACAGAGGTGTATTCATTTTAAAAAGTGTGTGATTCTTTTTCTGGATTCACTGCTACGATTGCTGTACTCCTGTAGAAAACAAAGCCCTTTGTGTAAGGTTAATATCTGTCCTGACTGCATTTTCAAGTTTAACTTTAGTTGCTGGCCCTCCGTAGTTAACATAGAGGTTATTTGGCTACTTCCAAGTATCTATGGTATGCTGCTCTAAGACGGAATTCTTTATTATTAATGACTTTAAACATTTTTGGTATTGACAAACCCCATATCTCTCCTTGCTGGACAAGTAACACATCCCAGACCTTCCATTTCCTTATGTGCTCAGTCACTTCACTGGATTAAGGCATGTTTTTGTGTTACATTTGCAAAAATAAAAACTTTTTGTACAAATGTCTGGGTTCTTTTATACAAAAATTTTTCTTCTTATGGCACAAGCAGCAGTTGCTGTTTAAGAAAATATATAAATATCCTTTTTTTTTTATTCTGTACAAATATCTTCAGTATTCCTCCACCCCATTTAATAACATTTAACTGTACACTGTCTTACCTCATCCTTCGCCGAGAGCTCCCTCCCCCCTCCCCAGTAGAACATTTTGTATTTACACTTTCACGGCGGAGGCAGATAACGGGGCGGGGGGGCTACCCCTCATGAGGAGTCCGTGCAGGGGGACGGTGGTGGCGGGTAGAGATGATGAGAGTAGCTCCGCTCCGTGTACGGTGAAGGCGGGCAGCTTTCGTAGTTCTCCTCCGCCGACAGGTACTGGCTGCGTGGAGTGGGTGGTGGGGGGACGGGCTCTGAATCATAGTTCAAGTCACTGGTATAGCCCTTGGCCGTCGCTGCTGTGACCCTTCGGCTGGGGGCATAGTCACTGTCACAGACATCTGTGCTGCAGGGCGTTGTAGGAGGTGCAAAATGCCGGTAGCTGTAAGGCCTGTAGCTGCAGTGGGGAGATTTATGGGAAAAGTGTTGGCAGGTAGAAAGACCGTGCAATTCTGGCGAATTGGAAACGGAGAGCGGGTCAACCTCTCTGCAGCAGGTACACAGCATCACGCTCTTCTCTCTCTCACACTGTGAACTCGCTAACTCCCCTGCAGAAGGCCCACCTTTGCACTACAGCATCAGTCAAATGACAGCAACTAGTGAAAGGGATGCTAATTGTGAATTATCTATGGACAACAGGCTCCCTAAGGACTTATTTGAGGTAGAAAAAGTTCCTCCTAAGACAGTGGGGCAGGAAGGGCACAGGAGGAAGAAGATAGCTGTGTTCCAATTTATGGAGAAGATACTCGGTTTCTATTATCCAGACACTAACTTCCAAGCCCAGACGGGGAGACTGAAAATCACCTGGCACATTAATAGCAGTCAGGAGAATCAATTGCCCAAACAGTAACTGGGATGGAATTCCCAAAGGCTGCTACCACAAAACATCTTTTAAAATGAGCCCAAGATAGTTTAAAGAAAACAAATTAGAAAGGGAGGTGCCTGGTAGCTACAACTACCAGCACCACAGTCGATTCTTGGGAGTAGGTGGGGATGCAGCTCCTCTATATTCAAGTCAGAATGTTAGGAAAGATGGGAAGATCAGAAACAGGAAGGTCAGGGTTTATTTTTGAGTGGGGGAGCATTAGGAAAACATTCAACCCCATGCTACATCCCTAATGCCATTTATAATACCAAAAGTCACATCAGCTAACCAGCGATCAGCATGATTCATACCAGTGCCAAAATTTGGGTTTCTTTCATTAGAAAATTACTCATTTTAAAGGATTTTTTTATATGGCTGCAAGGGACCATTATAAACATCTGGTCTGACCTTCTGCACAACAGAGGCCATATTTTCTGCTAATGGAGAAGAGATGTTTTTTCAGCCCCAGAGACCTCATTATCCAAAGGCTCCCAAAGACTCTGTGTTAGGGAGGCATTTCTTTCAATAGACAAATACAGCATGCTCTTCTCATTGACCAGATCTACTAGTGATTTGGGAGGGGAACCTTTACACCCTTGGGTAAGAGGTGTCTCGTTCTTTATTTTTGGTAAGTAGTTATAAAATAATAATGAACTCTATATAGCATCTTACAGGGAAGGTGAGACAGATATATTCAAGTAAACAGAGATAAAGCTTGCACGCCAATAAATATTAGTCAGAAAATAAGCAAAAGGTTAGCAACCTTTTTCAGATATAAACCCTTAACATGTCAAATTAGAATTTCTGTGCTTTATCTAGTCTGTAATATTAATGTTACTTCTGACCTACTTGTCTCTATATTGCCAACTTTCCTCTGCATGGTGTTTGCCTATCACTTCTGATAATTACATAACAAATTATTTATGACAGAAGCCTGGAAAAAAAAAAAGGCAGGGTTCACTCCAGGGTAAGTATTTTTGGCTCAAAGTCTTCATGGTACCACATTTCTTTTGGCATTTAGCTAATTTTGTGATGAGTATTGTCATTTCCCCCTAAAGCAATATACCTGAGAGGTGTACCACTAACCCACTTACCGTATGATTTACCTCAAACAGTGCTGCACTTACACACACGCTTCAGTGACACGATACATGTGAACCCATCTAAGCACCTGTTTTAGTGCTTGCAGAATTAGGGCCTTTGATTGCAATTCTTATGGAGCAGAGGCTGTCTTTATTCTGCGTTTTCTACACTAACTGCTTTGATCCTGATGCAAGCTATTGTAATAATAATTACCTGTAGGATCTGTGAGTAGATGGGCTGTTTGAAGAATAACCAAATTCCATGGTATAATGTGAACGTTCAGTAGCCGGTGATGGTGGTGGGTTCAAAATCTAAAAGAAAAAAAAAAAAAAGAAAAAAGCCACAGTTAAAAAAACCCACTACCAACATATGAAAGAAAACATCAGTTCATATATTTTCTTTTTAGTATTGTTTAATAGGAACCTTAAATTAAGAACTGCATGCATAGCCTCTCCCAACAAAAAGGATTTTTTCTTCCGTTTATTCCCCAATTCTTTAACAGACACTGGAAATGCCACTTTTTACCATTCCCATAGAAGCTATTACTAGGCTCTTCTCAAGAAACACTGACTGCTGTTGCTATTTTGGCATACCCACTGCTGAAAAGTAAAGTTGAAGCTAGCTGTTCAATACTAGATTGTCACTAGGGATACCACTGCCCTAGGCAAACTGGCAGATGTCTGCTCCTGCTAGCTCTAGTCCCCAGGTATTATGCTGTTCATAATACCTGCAGCGTGCTGTCCAAGGCAAACATTTCTACCCTACACAGGCACGCTCTTACTGCACAAACAGTATTTTGATTAAAGATATAACATGATAGGTTGATTCTCAGAACTGAAAACAGACAGTTGAAGTTTTCAGCCTACACTGACCAAGCAGGTAACTCTCTAACACTTGATAGCAGCTCAGTGGACTTCATATAAAAATAGCTAGAACAACCACCACTGACACTAGAAGTAAAGAGACAGGGAGCCCTCTAGGGCTGGTACCAACTTTTATACAGCATCTAGCACAGCACTCTACCCATTTGTGACTAGAGGAATGCTATGGAGTTGCAAGACACTTGTTTATTTATCTGTCACTTGCAAGACACACAACACAAAACATCATTTTAATTCCTTGAAAAGTCTATACAGAATCAACCATAGTTTTACCTCCAGAGGCAAATGGCAGAGTATAATGAAAGGAGATTGCTCTGCCAGAGCTGCTCAACATTTATAGGGATTTTTTTCATCTCCCCTGACATTCAACCTAACATCTTTTTCTGGCACTGAGCTGTCTCACAACTTTTTAAAATTAACAGGAAATGCCTATACTATTTTGGAAAAAGACAATCTCCTCTCCCCTTTCAAAATCACTTACTAGAAATTTTAAACAAAACATTAATCTGTCAATCAATTGTGCTCAGAAAGACACTGGCACTTCCCTGAAAGTTATAAAAGGTCTATGAATAACAGAATGACTTACTGGAGGAAAGTAAGTGCCTTTGGTACTTGAAGAACTACTAGAAGAGGCTCCAGTGACATGGGCCCTGTCATAGGGTGGCCCGCTGCTCCCTCCCATAATGCTAAGGGAGCTGATCACAGATTTACCTCGAGACATCCCTGCAGAACAAAGATACATGTCAATATTCAATTCTTTGAAGCAAACAGAGAAAAGAAAGCTTAAAAAAATAATCTAGAGGATAACAGCTGTATAAGCACAACTCCTAAACCCAAAATTAATCTTCTTGGTATTAAGAGCAAATTCAGTGCTCCTTGATGGACAACTGGAACGAAGACTGTGAGGGAATAAACATGATGGTTTTGTGTATCAGCTACTCAACTGCAGGACTTGGCACTGGGCTACACTAGAGCTGTGTGAAGAGAAACAGATTTCTTTCACTTGAACGGCTGGAAAAGACTTGAGAGAACAGGCATTCAGGCATTATTTCTATGCCTCAGAATAAAACATGAAACTGACTCTGACCACCTCAACTGAGCAACGGAAATTTGTGCGAGAGAAGAGAGGGTTTGTGTTCTTTCATTTCCACACCGTTAAGTGAGCTTTTGCTACTGGACTGAAGCACGCTGGCAGAGAGTCCAAGCAGGAAACGGAGAGGTATGCCACTGTGCTAGAAATAATGGTGAAGATTCTGCTCAAAGACTTTCTTTATGAAAGCAGGTTATTACAGAAAGCAAAGAAATTTGGTGCATTATTTTAACCCTGTAACAGCCTCACAGAACCTCTATGTTCTGACTGGAACCTGCTGCATCCAAAGCCACAAGTTACAGTACATGTTTAATCTATATACACAGAAGCGATGCAAATAAATGAAGTGCAACATTGTGGTTAAGTCTTAGTTTTCAAATAGCAGTAGCATCATGTGCTTGGATTGGTGTTGGAAACTTCACCATCAAATGAAATAAGCAGAGACCAGTTATTGCTGGTCAATACAGACTTTACAAGAAGCTTCAAGCATACAAACCCTATCTACAAATCTAACAAGAATAATTACATAAAGTTTAAATTCCCATGCATAGAACTCTGTGTGACTTTACCCTGTACGGTCATGACACCTTGCTGATACTGTAATAGTCCAAAAAGAGGCTTCTTCAGTAGCCAAAGAGAACTCCCATGGTATGTGTTATCTATTTGAGCTTACAGTTCTGCTAACTATCTAAATACTTGTGAATAGTACAGGTAAAATAGTCATTCATTATTATAAAGAAGGATGGCAACAAGCTCTGACAGTCCTGGCTTCCAACAGCTTCCAAGAATTATGCACCCAAAACAGACATCTCCTGTGCAGACAACTCAGCTACAACTATGTGCTGCCAAGGATCACACCATTTACTCACCAGGAAGGGACCCCGACAAAGAGCTTGGGTGAGGCACATAACCAAGAGGTACAGAGGCTGGTCCATGCACCACGTAATCATTGGTCATTGTTTCCCCATCTCCCTTCATGCGTGGGCACAGCACCCTCTGGCAGATGAAGTACATTGCTCCAACCACAAAAACTGTAAGGATCACACCAATGATGGAGCCTATTGTGTTGTTGGGCTGTGGTGCAGGCTCTTCCGTTGTGTCTGAAAGGAAAAAGGAAAATCAGACCATGTAAGTTAATCCAACAGCTTCATGTACCAACATCAGTTTTCCTGACATCTTTCCAGAGAGGAAAAATAAAAAGCCGCCTCTTCTGTAGGCAGACAACAGCTTTCAAATTACTTTATGGGAGGAACAAACAGGTACTGCGAGAGGTCTGTTTAAAGACTCTGAGTGTCCATAAGGGCTACCTGTGCACAAGATGACCTCCACACATGTAGAGAGATTTTCTGAATCACAAATGACAGGAAACGAGCATGCATGTGCAGGGGGATTGATGAACCAGGTCCTGATCTTGCTTCATGCTGGCAGGCAGGGCTATCCTTTGAACTTGATGAACAAGGCTATTACTCAATGTAACAGATTGGCACTCCCTTTTCTGCGCTGTGTAACATTCACTTACCACAGAATCACAGAATGGTAGGGGTTGGAAGGGACCTCTGGAGATCATCTAGTCCAACCCCCTTGCTAAAGCAGGATCACCTAGAACAGGTTGCATAGGATTGCATCCAGGCAGGTTTTGAATATCTCCAGAGAAGGAGACTCCACAACCTTTCTGGGCAGCCTGTTCCAGTGCTCTGTCACCCTCACAGTGAAGAAGTTTTCCTCATGTTCAGATGGAACTTCCTGTGTTACAGTTTGTGCCCGTTGTCCCTTGTCCTGTCACTCGGCATCATTGAAAAGAGTCTGGCCCCATCCTCTTGACCGCTGCCCTTTAGATATTTATAAGTATTGATGAGATCCCCTGCCAGTGTTCTCCTCTCCAGGCTAAACAGACCCAGCTCTCTGTCTTTCCTCATACGAGAGATGCTCCAGTCCTCTAATCATCTCTGTAGCCCTTGGCTGGACTCTCTACAGTAGGTCCTTATCTTTCTTGAACTGGGGAGCCCAGAACTGGACACTATACTCCAGATGTGGCTTTGCCAGGCCAGAGTAGAAGGATAGGATAACCTCCCTTGACCTGCTGGCCACATTCTTCTTAATGCACACCAGGATACCATAGGCCTTCTTGGCCACGAGGGCACATTGCTGGCCACTCATCCAACCCACACTTCCTAAGCTTGCCTTTGAGGAAGTTATGGGACACAGCGTCAAAATCCTCACTGAAGTCGAGCCAGGTAACATCCACTGCTCTCCCCTCATCCACCCAGCCAGTCATGCCATTGCTTATGCTGAACAGTAGAGGCAATGCATCAGTCATGAATTTTGAGTTTGCTGCTATTCATTAACCTAAGCTACTCCACATCTGACCCGCACTGATGGTTACAAACATAGCTGAGCATCAGGCATAGAGGCGCCATCCTTATGAGGAATCTGTACCTGAAGTGATTATTCAACAGTCAAAATAAGTGGCTTTCC